GAGCACAGTGCTAAACCAAAGGGCAATTTTTTTTATAATTACACTTTACAGGGAGAAATTACACCCAGGACTAGATTTACACCATTTGTGAAGCATTTTAGGGTGACCGGAATTTGGTAAGTTGTTAATAATAATAATCCTTGCATTTGATACAGCGCCTTATCACATTTCAGGATGTCTCAAAGCGCTTCACAGAATATACTGGAAAGTGAATTGACTGTATATTTTGAGGGCAAAACACGGCAGCCAATTGCGCACAGCAGAGTCCCATGGATTGAGTGACCAATATTTGATTTATTTTTTGGAAGGAATTATTACGCGGGAAAAGGGATCCACCAATCGACTAACAACCGGGTTTGAATGCAATCGGTTTTCTGCCATTCTTAAAAAAGAGAGAAAGGCAGCGAGTGGTATATTGTTGCTGGTGCCGTCCTTCGGATGAGATGTTCATTCAACATCTTTTCTGCCTGTTCGGGAGGACGTTAAAGATCCTGATACTATTCGAAATGAGAAGGGAGTTTTTCCCCATTGTCCCGGCTCAGAATCCTCCAGATAAAAATGGTTATTCCCGTCGTGGCTATTTGTGGGGACACTGAAGTGTGCAAATTGGCTGATGGAATTGCCTACAGTACACAGTCACTTTTACTTCACAGCATACACTGTGAAAAACCCCGAGACGGCCTCCTAACGTGAAAGATGCAAGGATTTTTATTGACCTGCCATTTTCCCAACCTTACTGGCAAATCCTGTGTATGAAAAGAGACAGCCAAAGCATTTTTATTCCTGAAAAAGTCACCTATGGCTAAGTTTCTCTGCAACATTTAAAGTACTGTACACTTGTAGTGTCGACTCTTATTGAACTATGGGCTGAAAAATGTGGTATGGGTTGTGATAATTAGCATATCTCTTACCACATTTTTCACCCGGACAACTCAGCCTACTTCAAAGATTTGATATTGTGGAATGTTCTCCCGGATCCAATTTCCACGGCCTTCTTGTGGTATTTATAGATTATTTTTGCCTTGATTTGAACAGTGCAGCTGTGTTACTCCAGTCAAACCCTGTTATAGCATGCTCCGATACAGTGTGGTCAAGATTATACAATAATAATCCTTCCTTTTGATATGGCGCCTTATCAGATCTTCGAGACATCTCAAAGCGCTTCACAGAATATACTGTAAAGTGAGACGACTGTATACTTTGTGGGCTAAACGCGGCAGCCAACTGCGCACGGCAGCGTCCCACAAACAGCAGTGGATTGAGTGAACAATTTCTTATCATTTTTCTTGAAGGAATTATTACCCACAGAAAAGCGATCTGCCAATCAACTAACAACCGGGTTCCTACTTACTGCTCGGTAAACAGTAAGTAGGAACCTGTAACAGACTAAAAACCACTGCGTTAGAAACTGTCTTCGTGTGCGGTCTCCCTGGTCTCTGTGAATCGAACGATGCCATTGACAGCATTACCTACTGCTCTGTAGAAGGTGCTGCATAATCCGAAGCTCCGTCAAGATGAGCATACTCAGCAGACAGACTGCAGCAACCCAAGCGTGAGTGACTATCAGCTCCTGCCCTCGAACGCTAAGTCGTCTGTTCAGTGAGAATCGGGAGTTACTAAGTTTTTCCGTAACTACTCACTCCCGACAATGATGAATTGCTGCTGTCAGGCAGAGTATATTTCCTGGAGCTATCATTTATTAATGTCACAGTAATCATGCCAAAGCGATGAGGGCAGAATTCAAAGAGAAAGATCTGAACACCCGAATTATTTTTAAAAAAATCACCTGCAGTCATCTCTTAATAATAATAAGAATAATAAAAATAATCCTTGCATTTGATGTAGAGCCTTATCATATCTTTGAGACGTCTCAAAGCGCTTCACAGAATATACGTCTTTGTCTTTTTGCAGGGTGATTAAAACAAAATCTGATGGTTGTGCACTTTAAGTCTGATGGTAAATAAATCCATGGGTTCAATTCCTCCACTCTTAAATGAACATACTTGGAAGCCCAAAATGCCCCTCTGGCCCAGATTCCAAAGTAAGTCAGAATTGGGGGGAGCTCTACATTGTCAAGAGCTGCCGTCCTTCAGATAAGACAGTAAAACCCTGGTCCCGTTTGCCTGTTTGGGTGGAATATCATGATCCCATGATGAACTCGGCAAGAGGTAACACCAGAATAGGATGAAGGGGATGCTAAGGCCAATAACAGCAACAACATCGAACTGCACCCTAACCTCAACATCAGCTGCAAACCTGCAACAGTCTGGTCTGCAGAATTCAGTGCCTCGGTGATCAGTGCCTTTATCCACCGAGTTATCTGGGAAGCTGCACGTAAGTTTATTTCTTTAGCGGTGGGAAAAGCTGCTGTATGTGGATGGCACTGGTGACAGTAATAATTAAACTGCATTTGATATAGCGTCTTATCACATCTTCGCGACGCCTCAAAGCGCTTCGCAGAATATACTGTAAAGTGAATTGATTGTAATTTTTTTTCGTGTGTGGGCAAAACGTGGGACCTAATTACAACAACAACAAATTGCATTTGTATAGCGCCTTTCACGTCAGGAGGACATCCCAAGGTGCTGACAGCCCAGGCGGTGATTGAATGTAGCCTCAGAGAGCAGGAAAATATTAATCTGACCTTCTCCTCCGCTCAGGTTTGTTAGAAGGTCTGCTCAGCAAGCTGGTACGTCAAATCCCATCATGGGCCTCGGGTCTTTATCGTGTAATTATATCAACTGCCTGCGTGTGAACAGGCTTTACAAGGTAAAAGCTGACAAGTTGACGTGACAACTGCAGACTCTGCAACCTTCATACATCTCACATTTGACACTTAGATTGCTTTGGGAGTCCCACAATGGAACTTCCGCCTTTTCTTCCATCCCATCCCAACCACTTTCATCTCTCCCCTTCCCCCCCCCCGCCAACATCCCAACATACGCCAACCTAAGCAGGTTCGTACTCGGAGTTTCTTGAGTCAACGTGTGAAGCCAACGGAGAAATTACTTGTGCTTTAAGAGATATTTTTAAAATTGATGTCCTGAGGTCCCGAATATTTCCAAAGCTTTCCGCCAGGTCCTGCTACAACACTAGAAAGTTATTATGACAAGCCTACTGATGTTACTGACTGTCTAGACACCCTTTTAAGCAGATGATTTGCCATCTCTGCTCATCCCTGGCCTGGCGAGAATCCACTGCGGCATCTCTGCTATTATAAGAGAACTCAGCAATCCGCAGCCAAGTTCCATTACCTTCAATCATAACCGAATGATTCTCTTAAATTATAAATACCTCGAAGCCTACTTTTACCTTTCTCCTCGTTGGGTTACGAATGACACCGCAAATGTGCATGAACAAGAAGACAACCCACGTGCATTTGGTATGCGAAAAATGAGTTTCCTAACTTTCTGGATCAAAGGCACTTGGGAGGGAATTTGGAGAAAGTTCCCTCGTGTAATTTGAGGTCATGCTCAATCAAGACAGTGTGCAAACTAGCTACAAAATACACAGTCATCACACTCTACAGTAAATCCCGTGAAGTGCTTTGAGGCGTCCTTCTGATGCAAAAGGCACTCTACCAAATGCAAGGATTACTAATTATTGCAACAACAAGAACTTGCATTTAAATAGCGGTCTTCACGTAGGATAACATCTCGGAGCACTTCACAATCCAAGCTAAGGAGAAGGGGGAGTGGAAGTGATCTCAGGCGCAGTCGAAGATACGTAGGTTTTAAGGTTGGGATTTTAAAGACAGATACAGAGGGGGTGGGGGGAGGGATAGAAGCAGAGAGTTCCACAGTTCAGGGACATAGTGACTGAAGCCTTGACCACCGATGATACTTGTAATCATTGATTATTTTGTATTAACCAGCAGTTTAAGGTCATGTTTGCAAGTTGCTGTCTTCAGACCTAACGTCAAGCAGATCAGTATAGCAAACCTTGGATACTGTCCAAGGTGCAACTCTCATACAAATCCCACTTCTGAACTGGAAACATTGGGCAGTGAACCTTTTTTTTCCTTTAAGAAACACAACCGGAGTGGAAGGGAACCGTTCCATTATTTCTCCCATGTTTGTTTAGCTAATGGATCTTCGCCTGCGGTCACTAACAACAGCGACCGTACAGACAGAGGAATTTTCTTTTTAACAAAGAAAATGAAAAAGTTATTGGTAGGACAGCTTCAATCGATTTACTTTCAGCTTCCAGTCAACTTGGTTCATGTAGACTTTTGACTTAAGGTACACTTCTGCTGGTAATCAAACAAGGGAAAACACGGCACATGATATCACCAGTGACAATTATCACATTATCCAAAAATGCAGTCCAGAGGCCATTAATAGTTGTCACTGGCTTTTTTTTGGGGGGGTGGGGGCAGGAAGGGAAAGGGAAGAGAGGAAATGAGATACGGAAGCAGCTTTAACTCTGATATCAGGGAACAGTATTGACTATGTTCTTGGTCAATGTGTTAGCACCAGGGATAAACATCTCATTACCTCCTCATTTACCTCTCCTCTAATTAACCGAGAAAATGAGCTCTTCATTAATCGCCCCTTCAATGCGATGGGATCCACGCACGGCTGAATTCGACAGTGGAATGGAGTAACGTTCGGTGACATGACCGAAACATACTAAGATAGTGCATCGCTATCATGCCAACTCGGTTTGATATCTCTATGAATTGACGTTAATTTTTAACTTCACCAGATAAGTATTTGTAAACAGCAGCCAATTTACAGTGTGTGCTTTGTTATCCACATATTAACTGATTGATAACATTCAAGGTTACTAGTGTTTGAATCGCATAGCTATTGGGTGAGCAGAGTGATTGTGGTCAAGAAATAGATACTAAAAGGGCCGTGAATGGAACATGGGTCCATTATTTATGAATGGGGGATTATAACAAGGAATGCTAGATTAACTGTGAATCGTAGCATGACTTCCATTCAAGTTGAACCAAATTGAACACGTTGAGTAAAATGGAAAGTTCAGAAACGTACCTGTGTGGTCTTCATGGCATTCGCAGGTATAACCTCCTTCCTTACTGCGACAGATCCCATTGTTTCCACAGGGGTTGGAGTAACAGAGGTCGATTTCCGTTTCACAGTAATCTCCGGTAAACCCAGCCGGGCATCTACATCTCAGGCCGTTGATTGGGTGAATGGGACGAAAGAGGATGGTGCCCGAGGAAATGAATGGAGCTGAGCTGTCAAACTTCAAAACGGACACACACTTCATGTAATTCTCACAAGGCTCCCTGAGGCAGATATTGTCATCAAAAGGCAGCACCCTCTGGGTGGAGATGGCAGTGAGGAGCGTGCGGTTGAGATAAATCTGCTCTTGCAGGTCCTCGGAAGAGAAAAATTGATTATGGGCCCCATCGGGCAGCAAGACGGACAGACTGACGTTGAGGATAGTGGCCCTTACGTCCGTGTCGTTCTGGATGTTGAATATCACAATGTCCTCCCTCATGGCGGACAACACGGTGGCCACTCCTTCAACAAATAACGAGAGAAGTGGAGAAAGGAACATTTCCTGGGACATGTTCTCCAGACGTAAAGTGATGCTGTTGGTTAACATTTCATCGGTAATGATGGTGACGTGCAGCGTACACTGAGCTGTCACACTGTGAATACCATCTGTAAAACAAAAATGTATTCTTAGAAAGAGGCGACTATGCAGTAATGTACAATAATATCATTCCTTCCACCAACCTACAATAGACGCATCTGAGACTAGTGATAGCTGCTGATTAGTGTCAGCCATAAACACAACATCAAAACATCAAAACTTAATTCCCCAAAGACCTGGAACACAACAGATGAATATATCTATTCAAGCTTTTGAATTCAACATTGTTCCTAGCTTTTTGTCATGCTATTAATTAGTACCAACTCGCAGTGCTCTGCATGTGAAATAACATCTTGGAGCGCTTCACAAACATGAGGTTGGACGCTGAGCAAAGGGAGAGGGACAAGGAGGAGGTAACTGGACACATGATCGAAGAGGTAGGGTTTTAAGGCAGGGTTTCAAGACAAGATAGAGAATGAGTGAAAGAAGTAAAGGGAAGGGCTTCCAGAGATTAGGAGAATAGAATCTGAAGGCTCAGCCATTGATTGTGGCACCAGAGAGGGTGAGGGACTTGCAGCAATTTCCGAGTTAGCCGGGAAAATGGTTTGAGCAAATGATACCGTTACCTAACAGATGTGAGATAGCCGGGTTAATTAAATGGCAAATGTAAGGATCTTGGAAACAAAATTATTTATGATAAACTATACAGTCACCACTTTAGCCTTGTAAAGAGAGACGTTTTGAAGCCCAAAGCTATGCAATTTGTAAAAGGCTTGTCACGTTTAAAGCAATTGGAATGACAACTGTGCATCTAGCTCATATAAAGTCATGGTAAAATCCACAGTGCATTGCCCTATCCGCGAGGGCTTTGGCTTGCAAAGTTGTGGGCGCATCCACACCTCCAAGTCTCATTGAGGAGCCAAGTAGCGCCATCAACCTTGAACAATGCTTTGGACTGCTGCAAACGTGAGCGGCTTTGTCAGGCATGTCTCCTTCCAGCCATTTCAACCCCAGTGAGATCGTGCCTACCTTCCCTTCCCCTCGCCCCCTCCCCCCGAGCATGGATTTAGACACGATATTAATCTCATCAACCTTGATAAGGTGACATGTTCATTTGAGCCCCGGACCTTTTACTGTCACCTCTGCCGCTCATCCAACCAAGATACCCATCATGTTTTAATCATGGGTAATTACTAGGTAGTCAAATGAGTGTTCAAATATTCAGGAAGGTAAGGGTCAGCTTCACAGCCTCAATGAGCACGGCGATAAAATATCTCCGGAATACATCACACAAGGTGTGAACTCCGTGATCTATCGCAAGGGCTGATTGTCATGAAGGTGAAATATCACCTCTGGGGACCTTGAAGATTATTAACAATGCGCAAGGCTCCACAGTACAGAATAAAACCTGCCACATGTCGTTCCAGGTCCCACTCATCCCAGCTCAATGTCATGAGTAACACTGTGGAAATGAGCTCTCTGGTTACACCTGGTGTGCATTCGGAGACTCAGTAAATAACTAGGGCGTAAACAGGCTGACAACCAAACCCTTAAGGATACGTCGGGGGCAGGATTCAGCGCTGTTAAATGACTATCTTAGCTGGTGTTCTCAGGTTAGATTTCAAAGAATGTTATTGCTACAGGTTCTTATCCGCCAGGCAAAAGACACATAATGGATGAGTCACAGGCATGTCCCAAGGGATTGTGTCTGGGGGAGAGATTGTAAAGGAGTGGGAAGCAATTGAACAATGGAGAGGAATAAATGGACAAGCCTGAAAATCGAGCAGCTACGATAGTCCGAGATCGCATTATAGATGTAACCATCAATTCACAGCAGTCTGTGGGACATTGCTTTGTGCAAATTTGACTGCTGCATGAAAAATGACTGCTGCGTTAACCTACAAAAACAGTCACTACATTTTATAGCAAAACCCTGTGAAGCGTTTTGAGGGGTCCTCCTGTCGTGAAAGGTGCCACACAAAATGTAAGGATTATTATATTAATTATTCATCTAATCACCATCATTGTCAAGGAGCTTTGCTGCCTGAGAGAGATAGGCAGAGCTGTGAATGTTGTTGTTGTTGTTGTTGATGATGATGAAAGAGACGCACAACATGTTGTGAACAAGTAAACTGCACAAACAACTCCGCACTTGTTTACCGCGTTTCAGCCAAGATGGCAAAGGCACTGCCTCCTCCTTTTGCACTGTGGTGTATGTTACCTCACGCTGAATTTTAAGCTCCCAGGCCACCTGAGAACCAATTCTTCCTTTGTGCATGGGAGGGGGAATTCACGTCAGGCCGAGATGCACTATAATTATGCCTACATTTGACAAAGGGCCACATGACACTGAAAGGTCTCAAAGAGCAGTGCACAGATCATTAGCAGCTTTGAAGTGTCGTAGCTTGTGTCGGGGAAAATACCACAAGGCTCTGAAAATTCAAACATTTGCTATTAATCTATTATTTTGCACTTGCCAATCTCTGAATAAACAGCTAGAAAAGATGTCAGATAGTCCGATACGAAGACTGGTGGAAGAACATTGGACTGAAGGAGAGGACTTGGTTAAAGGCCGAGTCAAGGGAGAAAAAGCGACCCAAATTGATCCAAACGAAAATCATCTCTCGCCCGAGGCAAAGCACAGCACTCCAGTGGAAATTGTTAACTGCAAGCAGCACCGTGTAATTACTGGTTCACAGAGGAGGATCGCAATAAACACAATGTCAGCTTGTTGGTGTGGGAGGATTAGCCAACATCCTACAGAATCGAGGCCCGAGCTAACCCTTCCCTCGAACGAACGACAGGAGAGTAACAACAACAACAAATTACAATTGTACAGCGCCCTTCCACGTCGGAAAGACGTCCCAGGGCGCTGGGCAGTCAGGGTTTTTTGGGGCTCGAGCTGGGAGTTTCAACGAGATGAAAGCAGAACCAGATTGGGTTATTTCCACCGAGCTGTTATCCTCTCGTTGTGACTAAACTACCCACTGTATCAACTCAATACACCAACCCCCCCCCCTCAGAATATCCAGTTTCCTTTTTTTTAAACGAACATTACAGCACCCTGGTCAATAGCCAACGATCATGTTTCTCATACGCCCAACGCAACAACAATAATGATCCTTACATCTGACATAGCATCTTTCATCTCAGGAGGTTGTCTCAAAGCGCTTTGGGGGATTTTCCCGTGAAGTGTAGTGACTGTCTTTGTATCGACTCATCCGAAGGATGGCATCTCCAACAGAGCAACCCTCCCCCAGCACTGTGTTGGAGTGACAGGCTGGACGATATGAATTGAATGTGAATTGAACCCTCAATCTTTTGACTCGGGAGGCGAGAGTACTGTTTCGTGCACAAAATACACAGTCAATTCACTTTCCAGTCTACTCTGTGAAGTGCTTTGGAGACGTCTCGGAGACATGATAAGGCGCTCTATCAAATGCAAGGATGATTATTATTATTTTTAATCATGTTGCTTATACTCTTTCAGTTCAGTGCTGGAACTCATGATTCACATAGCACTCTGCCCTTTTGAGATCATCTGTAACAATATCCTTGAGGGGGGTGGGGGGTGGTGAAGAGAGAGGGGAGGTAAATAGAATCTGCCTAAGGCTGAACTGATGGACATATCCAGCAAAAAGTCAGGCAGGTCTGCAATAATCCAAGACAGACTTTGAGGTTTAGACACAATCATAATAATAATCCTATAATAATCCTTGCACTTGATATGACCACTAACATTGAAACGTCTCAAAGCCTTTCACAGGTAATTGCTGTCTATTGTCTATTGTCATGACCTTGCATTTTGTAGGCAAGAGTGGCCAAGAGCGACGTATACACAGCAAGGAGCCACAAACAACCATGAACCCTCTCAGCAAAATCCCCTGTTGTGTGTGTGTGTGTGTGTGTGTGTGTGTGTTTGCGTGCGTGTGTGTGCATGTGCGTGGTTGGAGGGTGTCAGAGAGATACTGCTGGACACATACAGTGCCTGATGGACTCACGCTAAGCTCGCATAAAGAAAAATGCTTCACTTCAATGTGGTTTCTGCTAGAAAGGAGCAGAACAATGCTTCTCAGCTTTGTGACTCTCTTGCTTTGTGGGGACGCAGCGGAACCCATGACCTCAAAGTAAACTGAGCATCTTCACTTTTTCATGTGAAGAAGCTTCGTTAAACCGGGCTTCTATTTTCTAGAGATGTTCTATTGTAATAAGGCACAGTTTTGACAGGATGTATATAACCCTGGTGCGGTTTCTGGCAGTTAAAGGCAAAACCATAACTCTTCTCTCTTTTGTGCTCCCTCCTTCTCCCGACACCCACCTCTAGTAATAGGACCAGATGAATGCCAAAATACACAAAGGACAAAGATATGGAGCAATAAGTTGGTTCAAATTGGTTTAGAAAAATACTAATAATAATCCTTGCATTTGATATTGCATCTTATCATGTCGTAAAGACGTCTCAAAGTGCTTACCAGAATATACTGTAAAGTGAATTGACTGTATATTTTGTGTGTGAAACAGAGCAGCCAATTGTGCACTAGAAAGGAAGACACTCTGAGTAGGTTTAAACATTCAGCCTTTAGGAAATGGAGGAGTGAATTTGGATCAATGCACATCCCTGACCGAAGAGTCAAATGGTGACTGTCACTGTCATCACCTCCAGCTGATTGAAGGCAACAGAGCATGGGAACAAAGGATCAGCCAGCAAAGTCATTTGCATTGCAAAGATGCAAAAAGCCAGCCCCAGTACGTAAAAGGTACCTCATTTTTTAATGTAAGCAAAAATAGTGAAACTCCCAGATACTGAATACATGATAGAAAGACAGAGGCGAGAATTATTCCTATAAGATCTGTTCAGAATACCCATCCTAATGTCGTCTCATTACAGTGACAAGCTATTCATTAAATGGATCCCAATGGATCCCTGGCCTCAACCGCTATTCCTGGTAAACCATGTTCCAGGCGTTAACTACCTTTGCAAAATAAGCACAGAGCTGCTGCTTCTGACAGAGGCAACAAGATGAAAGGGATTTTACCTCTGAAATCTCAGCGAGATTTCATTGCCTCT